CGGTCCTGTGGGAACAATGCTCCGTCCTCTCGAGGACGCGTGGTCAATGGTCTAACCGCTAAGGCATGCAAAACATAAGAGTACGCCCCCCCCCGCCCGCGTGCTTGCATGAGCAGCACGTCCTGTTGCGCTCATGGGTGCGTCGTCCACCTTTTGCAATTTCCCTGCGTCATATTTGGTTCCGAAATGGAAGCGCTTGTCGAACGCTAACTCTTCGCGTTTGATGTTCTTCTTGTTCCCTACCGCGACAACCGCCTTGTAGAACCCGGAAAACCTTCTGATCTTTGCAGCCGGTAACGACGGCGAAACCGAGCGCTCGGTGTGTACCATGGCTAGTCCTGCCATCGGCAAGAATGTTCTCGCCGTAGGGGCTTCAACATCTGGTGACACACGCGTCATTTCTACGGAAGGGGGAGCGGGCATCGACATGGTGGCCGATTTCAGCTCGTACGGGTTCACGACTGATGGTAGAATCAAACCGGAGGTCGTGGCGCCAGGAGACATGGTGAGTGTGGTATGTATACCTTTGCCCGAGAACCATCTGTTCTGCTCAAGTTTTCCCTAGTGCGCAGCAGAGACGTGTGCATTCCGACGTAGTTGCAAGAATGGGACGTGCTCGATAGCAACATTGTCGAGGGGAGAAGGCAACTTGACCGTTTTCCTATGCATGTTACTCAACGAATCGCCCTAGCCACGACAAGCACTTGTGCCCCCATCCAACTCATTCATCGCCCGGATAACGTTACTCGACAGGTCTACTCCGCCGCCAGCGATGGCACGGACTCACACTCGTGTAGGCTGTGGGCGTACCAAGGAACGTCGATGTCGTGCCCAATTGTTGCGGGTGCAGCGGCTATGGTGCGTAGTACCCGGTCGGGAGAATTTCTTCGATGGGCAGGTTTAGCCCATGGGTTCGGTCTATAGTGGAGCAGGCAGTGGGTCTCCCGACGTCGTTGGAGCGTATCTCCTGTTTTGCTCCCTGAACACTCGCAAGGATTAGCGCATTTACTAAATGTTTACGGTGTCAGGCTTCTGATTGAGACAGCTCAACAAAGGCCACAACTCTCCGTGGATACATAGTGCTGGACCAAGAGTACTTCCCGAAGAGTGATGTACCGTACTTTCTATGGCAGAGAGCATTGCGTCGGTCGCACGGGAAAGGATTGTGTGGGTCGAAAATGGTACGATTTTCGTGCCGTATGTCGGATAATTGTGTTAACCGTGACTGGCTTCGTTCGGGCCTTTGCCGACTCCCAGGTCAGGCAGTACTTTGTGGACGAGACCTTCTACACGGCGGACGTGACAGCCAGGGGCTTCTGCAGCGATGGCTTCATATGCGAGGGCTTCTCGCCGTCGGCGGCTACGGTCAAAGTGAGCGCTTGCGTCTTTCCAAAATATCGTATGAATCGGAGCTTTTTTTTTGCATGGCTCGGAGAGTTGGCACCACACATGGATTGATTCATCTGGGTGACCCCTCTTTCTGCTCTTTTCTACAGGCCTTGCTGATCAACAGCGCCAACCTGATGGGAGAAAGCAGCCAGCCCGACGCCTACCGCGGCTTCGGGCGTATTCACCTGGAGCAAGGGATGCCGCTGGAAGGAGAAGGAGACTTGGCGCTCTTCGTGGCAGACGCTCTCGACACATCCATCGCCGAGGATACCGTCCAAGAATACTTGTTCGACGTGGATGCCGACGCTGGCCTGGAGTTGCGTGCCACGTTATCCTGGATCGACTACCCTGCCACGTCAACGTCGGCTATGCAGTTGGTGAACGACCTGGACCTTGTAGTGGTTTCTCCAAGCGGGACAGTGTACCGGATGTGGGGGTCGGATGTCACGGACAACCGCAACGTGAATGAACGAGTGATCGTGGACGCCGACGACGTTGAGACGGGCACCTGGACCGTGCTCGTGTACTCCAACAGCCTTGTAACCGACTCCCAGAGCTACTCTCTTGTCGTCAACGGAGCCATCAGTGCGGGGACCGGCGAGGGGGCGAGCGGCTCCTTCGATAGTTCAAACCCGTACTTTACGGGTGACTTGGCGGACTCCGGTGGCGGCCCGCATTCCGTCACGCCCCCTGCACGTTTGTCGATTTTCCTCGGCGCAACTTTGGCGGCCGTTGTTGCCGCAGGTGCATGACGTAAGGAGACTACCGTCCGACTGTGTTCTTTGAAGCCGAGGATCCACCGCAGGCCCGTTTAGCCATGCCGTATGCCCTTTGATGATGTGGGGTGTATTCGTAGGCATTGTACGTCGGGGATAACCTGTTCCCCTCCGGATCGTTTCGGCGTATTTGGAGTATTTGCGATCGCGGATCATCTTCGCGGTTCTTGTGTGGACAAGGTAGCGTAGTTTTGTTGTGTTCCGTTGTTTTGTTGTGTTCATCTGTGCCGGAGAGAAGTTTTACTGGCCCTATACCCGAACACGTTCAACAACCATAGTTTTGTTGTTTCAAGTAGACCTTAGGTCGAGAGCGGAGAAAGTCCTCAGTCATGTGTTTTCAGTCCTTCCCAGCTGTGCCCGAGACAACGAGTGTGTTTTCCCTTCGGTATATATGACGGTAGTGTTTGATTTTGTGGAGTCAAGCGTCCCATGCTGATCTATGCGTGGAAAGAACGAGAGAAACTCGCCGGAAAAGCGTGTAGTCTACTGCACATACGATCACGTTGTTGTGTAACATATCCCCCATATCGTAACCGGCCTCTCATAGTTTTAAATGGTCTAGGCGCAATCTCGTGACGGAGTGCCGCATGCAGTTACGCACCGTGGCAAGGGCGTGGAGGCGCCCTCGCTCAACCCCTTTAGGGCTGGATCGAGTTTGGGGGACATTTTTGTTCCCCGTTATTAAAATTATTTTCTTACTTACACTTTGTATGTGAGCGATTCCAAGTTACAGTCGTCCCCGCTTTAAGGCCACTTGTTACGCTGTCTCTTTTTGGGCTGTCCCTTTTCTCAAAAAGAGACAAAGTTGCCCAAAAAGGGACAGGATGGGGTGATCTTTTATCGCTGTCCCTTTTCGGGAGGTTCAAAAACGCAAAAAAAGACCACGTAACAAGTGGTTTTTGGTCAGTTAGTTGTCCCTTTTTGAGAAAAGGGACAGCCCAAAAAGAGACAGCGTAACAAGTGGCCTAATAAAGACACCATTTTTAAAGACACTCCCCGCTTGAAGGACACAAAAATCTCAGGAACATGGTGCCCCGCAGATGTGAAAAAGTAGGGGGGGTAGGGTTTTCCACCATTCGACCCCCCCAGAAAATGTGCTGCAGCACCTGTAGTTCGCTCTCGTCTCGAAGATGTCCGCTCTTCTTGTACACACATGGGAGAGACGGCGAGTACAGCGAAACGGCGTACCTTCTTTCGAGACCGTCCGTGCATTCGTTTAGTCTACTCATGAAACTCAGGTCAAGCGAAGAGCAAAGGAGGGGGGGGAGGTGCAGGCGACTCTCCGGGATATGTGGCGGGTGTAGTTTTGGTTTCGAGAGCAAAGCACTTTTATTGCCAACGTTCGTTGTTTGCCTTGGGTGAAGTCTCGCGAGGTTGATTTTGGCGCTTGTGTTGTGTTGTGCCTCGTTTTGACCTTTTGGGAGGCGGGGTGTCGTCTTTGTCGCTGTACTTTCCCGACATTTTTGGTCTCTGTGTTTCTGCGTAACCTGCATTTTCCTAGTGTCATTTTACAATAACCTTCGATATTTCTCAGGTGCGGTAGCGAGATCTTGGGCAAGATATTCACGGGGAGGACAACGCCTAAAAACTAAAATATTGCAATAACTAGACTACGCCCATATCAACACCAGCGCACTACCGTCGTGTACATGTACGATGCGTAGGCCGTAGAACACCATCATCGCTTTCAGCGTTTTGGTGGTACAGTACGGGGAAATTCAAACGATGGTATGCAAGTATGTATTGCAGCACAATAGCAGCAGTGGTTGCGACTTCGAATCACATGTGTCGTAGGTTTCAATAAACACCTCCTGTCGTAGCCTTCCTGCTGCGAATGCGCATCTTTGGACATATGGTTCGCCTTCATTGGCCGCGGGGATGGTGCGTTGGTGGCCCCGAAATTTTAAAGGCACTTCCCCGCGTTAAAGACACTTGTTTTGGGGGAAACGTGGTGTGTCTTTAAAGCGGGGTCGACTATATATCCTATTTATTGCTCGATTTCGTGTGGCAGTAAGGTTCATGGCGCGATTTCGTGCTAAGCGAGACTGTGACCTGGTCAGCCAATGAGCATCATCCCACTTTCATCGCTTGTGCCGCGTACCGCACGCGGCGCAATACAGCGCAAAGCACACACGACAGGCTAGGCCTGTCCTCCATCGGCCGCGGCCGAAAGAGCCGATTTCTGAAAAATTCGGCCGGAAAACGGCCGCGAAAAAATACGGCCGATTTTGCAAACAAAGTGGCCGATTTTGCAAACAAAGCAGCCGATTTTGGCCAGGGGATGATAGCCGAATGTCAGTCGGCTACGGCCGATTCCTAGTCGGCTACGGCCGATTCCAAATCGGCCACGACCAATGTCCGATTTCAATGGGCCACCCCCCTCCCCCGCCCATAAATTCAATGTTGTGGGGAGTCCTACGTACCTACCTACCCTTCCTTTTCGAACATTTTTTCACTTGCGCGGTGGTCTCCGCGTCTCCGCACTTACTTGAAAACAAAAAAAACACAAAAAACTTCCAGCTTCCAGCTCGCCCATAGCTCGCAGCTCGCAGCACGCAGTCCGCACACGGTAGTGTTCGTGAGGTGGATTATGCCATCCTTACGAAGGCTACTGTGGCGATACTCATGCGTGGTTTTGAGCTACATGCAAGTGCGCAAGTAGTGGCTGTTCACCGATCTTGGATCTTCGGGGTATCTCCGATCATATCTTTGACAAGTTGTCACGTGTTCCGCTGTCGCGTGTTCCGAGTTCCGAATGCGTCTTTCCTGCGGGGAATTTCTTGCGGCTGCTGCACGAGTGCCTCGGTGTTTGTGATGCACCCTGTGCTCACTCTCTTCCGTGGGTTGTGTCTACAAGGACAACCAATAAAACGTCTTAACCATCTCTTCACGTTTGTCAACCGGGTCAGCCGTGCTCATCCAGCAGCACTAGGCTTGGGGCCAATCAACACTCTAGAGTTTGAGCGGTTATCGCCATAGTCTAGCGTGACGGACACACATGTCTTCGCAAGAATCGGATAACTCTGGCGGAGGCGGGGCCAGTCCGACTCATGAGGAACTTCGGACGGCCATCGATGACGCCGTCGGCGACGCCAGCACAAGACTGGAGAGGATGGTGACGCAGAAACGGGAAGACCTAATGGAATCCTTGTCCCGACTAGTGCCCGGGGCACCGCCTGCCGGGAGTACGACCGCGGCGGGCGGCGGAGGAGAGTCATCGGGAGGGGCGCACACCCTTCCGGGCGCTGGGTTTTCGACGGACCACGCGCCAAG